CCCTCTATCCCTCCCCTGGCTGGCATTGAAAGTCCAGCTCTATCATCTCCTCTGCCCAGTTATTGGTGATCAATCAGTTTTTAATACACTGATCATTGGTAATTGGGGAGCAGCACAGTTTACACAACATTGAAACAGGAGATTCTTAGAACAAGCATTACAATGCCATGTCTAGATGTAACCAGATGTGGGGGGGGCACAGAAACCAGCATTTGAATAATTCAAGAATAATCTTTACGTAGTGCAGGATAACATTATCCCAACAGCCCTATGGTGATGTTGAATAATTGCTTGAGCCCTCACCTGTCTGGAAGTCAGTTAATTTTCTATGCCTTTCTGATGGCCACCAAGCAGAAAGAAATATAAGACACAACCAGCCACACTAGCTCAAATTGGGAATTCTTTGGATATGATTCTGTCTCCTCTAAAAGGGGTGGGGCTCTTATGCTGAAAGATCCAAGAAAGAAAGAGTTGTATGAAGACTTCCTAGTTAACTGGAAAAAAAATCAAAGAATTTGACTTATAATATACAGCACTATCACAGGAAGATACACTGAATGTGGTGATGTACCCCTTTAATTCCCATGCTTAGGAGGCAGAGGCAAGGGTAGCTCTGTCTTTGAGGCCAATCTGGCCAGTCTACGTAGAGAGTTCCAGGCCATTCAGGAGTATACATACTGAGACCTTCCCTCAAACAATCAGTCATTCAGTCAATAAATAGACATATTTGACTTCATAAAAAATTAAAATCTTCTATAGCTGGATGTGGTAGAACACATTTGTAATAACATAGCGACTTATAAAAACTTTTATTTTCAGAGGCTGGAGAGATGGCTCAGTAAGAAAGAGCACTGGCTGCTCCCTCAGAGGAGCCACGCTTGATTCTCAGCTCCCACAGGCTGGCTAACAATCTTCTGTGACTCCGGTTCCATAGGATCTGACACACTTTCCTGACCTCTGTGGACACCAGGCACACTTGTTGTGTGCATACATGCAGGCAAAACATAAATATAAATAAAGCTAAAAAGCCAGGCAGTGGTGGTGCACGCCTTTAATCCCAGCACTTGGGAGGTAGAGGCAGGTGGATTTCTGAGTTCGAGGCCAGCCTGGTCTACAGAGTGAGTTCCAGGACAGCCAGGGCTACACAGAGAAACCCTGTCTCGAAAAACTGAAAAAAAAATTAAGCTAAAAATAAGTTAGGGCTGGAGAGATGGCTCTGTGGTTAGTGCTGCTTTTCCAGAGGTCCTGAGTTCAAGTCCCAGCAACCACATAGCAGATCACAAACTTCTGTTATAGGATCTGATGCCCTCTTCTGGCATGTAGGTGTATATGCTGATAAAGCACTCATACATGAAATACAGGAATAAAAATTAAAAACAAAACATTTTTTCCACTGAGGTGAGGGGTGTGTGGCTTGAAAGGCAGAGGCAGACTGATCTCTCTGAGTTCAAGGCCAGCCTGATCTACAGAGTGAGTTTCAGGACATTCAGGGCTTCACAGTGAAACCCTGTCTCTTATTGTCCATCTTATTATGCTCTTAACTGCTGAGACATCTCTAGCTCCAGAGAGCAATTTTGAGAATAGCCTGAGGTACATGAGATCTTGTCTCACAGAACAAGCCAAACATGAAACCTTTCTGCACATTTAGAAAATATTTTAGGGGCTGTGGATGTAAAGCCTGGGTCACGTAATTGTTAATCCAGCACTCAGAAGATAGAGAGAGGCAGGAGGGTCGGAAGTTCAAGGTCATTCTCAGCTGCCTAGTAAGTTTCAAATTATCCTTGGGATCCATGAGACCCCTTTAAAAAAAATTATGGGAGGAAGGAAGGAAGGAAGGAAGGAAGGAAGGAAGGAAGGAAGGAAGGAAGATTAGCTAGCTAGACCATTCGTGAGAATTTATTTACTCTATGTGTGTATGTATGTGTGTGTGTGTGTGTGTGTGCATGTGTATATGTATGTCTGTGTGTCTCTCTGTGTATCTCTCTCTCTCTCTCTCTCTCTCTCTCTCTCTCTCTCTCTCTCTCTGTGTGTGTATGTGTGTGTGTCTGTGTGTGTGTGTCTGTGTGACAAAGACTTATCATGCAACCCTGACTGGCCTGGAGCTCACTGTAAGGGCCAGACTGGCCACTGTGAGGATCAGCCTGACTTTGTGGTGAGTTTAAAGGCATCCACCACCACATCTGGTCATGAGAATTTATTTTAAAACCCAAGAAAGACATTTAGGATCCAATAAAATATACAAATATGTGAACATAATTTGTAAGAAGAAGTGCAACAGGCAACGACATGACAAACTCTTCAACAGTATCAGTAATCAGTGATATCCATGAAAAGAATGGGGAGCTGCTATTCTCTGCTATTGTTCCTCAAATATATCTTACCCAGTACTGGGCAAGGCATCGTAAAACAGGCCCTTTAATGGACTACTAGAGGCAGAATACAAAAGGAGTGATTGTTTTGAAAACAACTGCCAATGTTAATAAAGAGAAGGTTCCAAAGTCTTCGGTGCTCCCAATGATAAGGCTCTGTCTTAGGAGGAAGTCAATTCTTCATTGTGAAATTATTGTAGCCACACAAACTGGAAGCAATGGAAATTGCCATCAATAAAAAATACACTGTAAAAAAAATACACTGTAATCTGTGTAGTTCTGCTGTAATATCCTGCAGCAATGGGAATATTAATTACCAAACCTGGAGTAACATGGAAAACATTCAATTATTTTTATTATACTTAGTGGTGGTGGAGGACTTTCCCTACTCTGGAATACCTTCAGAGGTCAACTTTGTAGAAGCGATTGTCGCCTCTTACTCCAGTCCTTAGGAACTGATCCTTAGGGTCTCAGGTTTGGTGGCACACACTGTTGCAGGTTGAGCTATCTTGACAGCTCACATATGTTAAACTTATAAAGCAGGGCTGAACATACAGGTCATTGGTGGAGTACCTGCTTAGTACATGAGAGGCCTTGGATATGATTCCAAATACTACACACATACTCACAGGATCCAGCTCCCCACACACACACACTCACACACACACACACACACACACACACACATGCACACACTTCCTGGTGGAAATGTGAGCTGGTGTAGGCCACGGCACTTCTTCGGTGTGCTCAACTCTAGTGGGTGAAGTACTACTTCAGTCCCCATTAACGTCAAGAAAAAAATAACTTATCTCTATATAGTTCATGATTTTATACTTATATACTTTGGATTGGAGAGTTAGTTAGGAGTTAGAAGCACTTGTTGCTCTCCCAGAGTAACGCAATTTCTGTTTCCAGCACCCACATGGTAGCTCACAACCATATGCAAATTCCAGTTCCAAGGGAAGATCCAAAGGCACAAGATAGAAATATGGTGCACATACATACAGTCAAACCAAACACTCATGGAATTAAAATAAGAATAAATTTAAAAATTTAAAAGTTAAAATGCTTAGCCTCTATTTACTGTATTTAATGTCCTTCTTCCCCACTAGAATAAAGCCCTGATGGTATTTGTTTTGTTTTGTTTTTCAAGACAGGGTTTCTCTGTATAGCCCTGGCTGTCATGGAACTCACTCTGTAGACCAGGCTGGCCTCAAACTCAGAAATCCACCTGTCTCTGTCTCCCAAGTGCTGGGATTAAAGGCGTGCACCACCACTGCCCAGTTCCCTGATGGTGTTAATAGTTGTATTTTTGTTGCTGCTAAATCTCCATTGCCTATAATATTTCTTGGAACATGTCAAGCCCTCAACAACTTTGTTGAATGGATAAGTAATATTTTGCACCTAGGTGTTTATTCCATTATCTTTAATAGTTATAGTTTATATTGAATAAGCTATTCTACAATTTAGTTAAACAAACCCGTAATCTTTGAATACGTTTTAAAAAGAAATGTAGTTGAAAATTGTTCAGTGGCTAAGAGTGCATACTGGTTTCCTAAAGGATCTGAGTTCAGATTCCCAACACTGGGCGGCTCACAATACCTGTAAGCCCAGCTCCAGGGGATCCAGCATCCTCTCCTGGCCTCACCAGGCACCTGCACTTACATACACATCTCCACACTACTGTTTTGAAATACTAATTTTATTGTATACTAAATCTACCTGTGTCTGGTTTTGTATATTTTAAGTCTGCTCTGGTTTTTTGACTCATCCCTTCCTGCACTAACATACAAATGAGTGTGAGTATATCCGTTCCTGTAGGCAGTGGGGGGACAGGGATTGAACCTGAGCCACATCTCAGTTACCTCTAAATTATTTAGCTTTTAATTTTATAAGACTAAGTCTTGAGCATTTCCTAGTTAACAACTGAATATTTAAACCAAGTTTGCCTAATCTCCAGAAACAGGATGATCAATCATGCATTGGTGTTTTGCCTGCCTGTATGTCTGTGTGAATGTCAATCCGGGTTGTCTGGAAGGGCAATCAGTGCTTTTACCACTGAGCCATCTCTCCAGCCCCTACTGTTACCTTTTTATTTATTGACATTTAATTATATACATAACATACGTATATACATACACACACACATACATACATAGATACATACATACACATACATACAGCTATAAAATTTACCATCCCACCGAATGCACTCTCTCAAAAGAAGGGTTTAGACAATTTGAGTCTCTCAAAAATACACTTTAAAAACTGACACCTGTCGGAAGGTGGTGATGGACGCCTTTAATCACAGTACTTGGGAGGCTGAGGCAAGTGGATCTGTGTGAATTGGATGCCAGTTTGGTCTACGGGGCGAGTTCCTGGACAGCCGGGGCTACACAGAGAATCCCTGTCTCCAAAAACCACCAAACAAACAAACAAACAAACAAACAAACAAACAAACAAACAAAACCCTGACACCTAAGGAATAAAGAAGTGGCTCCACTTGGAGATAACAAATCTTGAGCGAACCCTCTAAATCAGAACAGAGCGTGGACAGCTTCGGCCCACCTGCCGGCACATGCTGCGCTTCCCCTCTCAGCCTCTGGATGGCGCCCAGAGCCGGGTAAGCAGGGATCTGGACCAGGGGTCCTTGCGTCAGCTCCCGTCAAATCGTCACTTCTGGTCCCAGGCGGAAGTCTTCTCCTAGCCGACCGGGAAGTAGCTGAAGACCCGGCGATGGGAACTCTGGAGGTCTCGCTCCGGGGCGGACCCGAGGCCACCGTGCCCCCGCGGTAGAACGAGCCTGGGTGGCGGGCTCCGAGGTCCTGAGGTGAAGAGCGTCGGGGCCTGAAGTGAGACCTTAGAAAGAAGCCTAGAATCCCTGGCGGCCACTTCGGTGACCCCTTCCCCCGCCCGGGAGTCCAAACTGACTTAGCCGGGCTCTGCCCCGGAAGCGGGTCCTCTTAGTGTCATACCACTACTGGAGGGAACGGCACGGACCGGGATTTTCCTCGTCACCTCCACCTCCAAGGCAGCAGGTAGCCTCGAGTCCGAGGTTCAAAGGCGGCGATTCTTAACATCGTCTTTTCTCCGCTGTCGCAGGCATGGAGGGGTCTAAGGCGTCCAGCAGCACCATGCAGGTGAGCTTCGTGTGCCAGCGCTGTAGCCAGCCTCTGAAACTAGACACGAGCTTCAAGATCCTGGACCGGGTCACCATCCAGGAACTCACAGGTCAGCAGGGTCCGAGGGAAGAGGGTGGTCAAGAAGGTGGGAAATGGGCAACTTTAGAAACATTGTGGTGGCAGTCTGGCTTTTGGTTTCCTCATCAGGAATAGAGTTCTGACGTTGTCCCCAGAGTGGAGGAGTATCCACATATAACAGAATTTCTTGAGGACTTAACAGTGTACCAGATATCCAGTAACAGTCCCCGTGGAAACCAGGTTTGGTGGCTCACATCTATAATTGCAGCACTCAGGAGGCTGAAGCAGGAGCTGCCTCAAGTTCTAAGCCAGCCTGGGCTACAGAACGAGACCCTGTTTCCAAAAGAACAAGGGAAGAACAAGGGAAGTGCCATGTTGCACCCTCTTCCAAGTGAAAAATTGAGGTTTAGAGAGGCCAGTGAATGTACTTACCTGAGGTTCAGTTAAGTGTAGGAGAAGTGGGAGGTGCCTAGCGAGTTTAAACAAGTTCACGGGCCTGGCATTAGCATGTACACTTTGGCTTTCTTATTGTATTTCCCTAGCCCTTGATTTACTTTTATTCATTATTAGTATTAATTATGTATATGAGTGCTTTGCTTACGTATATGTCTGTCCGCCACATGAATGCCTGATACCCAAAGAGGCCAGAAGAGGGTGTCAGATCCCCTGAACTGGAGTGAACAGGTGGTTGTGAGCCACCCTGTGAGCACTGGGAATCGAACCCAGGTCCTTTGCAGGAGTGCTCTAAACTGCTGAATGATCTGCCCAGCTCTTATTTTTCTTCTTCTTTTTAAAAACATTTATTTTAATTTATTATTCTTGCTATTTGTTTAGACAGAGTCTCATGCTAGCCCTTGGCTTGCCTCAAACTCATGGATTATCCTGCCTCTGCCTTCAGAGTTCTGGAATTAAAGGTGCATGCCACCACACCTGGCTTGTTTTCACATTTTAAAAGGTTAATTGTTGTGTGTTGAAAGCACAAAAATGGTAAAGACAGGACCCATCCTTCGTCTCCCAAGTGTTAGAATAAAGGAGGGATGTGTGCTACCACGCTCAGCCTTACACATTTTTAAACTTATTTTCATGTTTTAAAAATGTGATGCATTTATAGGGTACTACTTGATGTTTGAATACACATATAACAGTGTTCAAATCAGAGTTGGCACGTTTGTCTCTCCCAACATTTTTTTGTTTCCTTGTGGTAGAAACATTTCTAGTCTTCCCTGCTGGCTTTTGGGACTTGTGCAGTGCACCATTGGAGCCCATGCTCCACACTGTACAGTAGAACAGCAGAACTTTCTTCTCCTGTCTAACCAGTCTGTTGAGTATAACCATCATTTTGCTCTCAGTTTAAATGAGATGTGCCACATATGAGTGAGACCATTCAGTGCTTGCTTTTCTGGGCCTGGATAATTTCACTTAATGTATATCCTTCAGTCTTTTTTTGTTGTTTTTTGGGTTTTTGGGTTTTTTTTTTTGTTTTTTTTTTTTTTTTTTTTTTTTTTTTGGTTTTTTCAAGACAGCGTTTCTCTGTGTAGCCCTGGCTGTCCTGAAACTCACTCTATAGACCAGGCTAGCCTCAAACTCAGAAATCCACCTGCCTCTGCCTCCCAAGTGCTGGGATTAAAGGTGTGCGCCACGACTGCCCGGCATGTCCTTCAGTCTTAAATGACAAAAGTTCATGCTTAAAAAAACCTGACTAGATTGTCACTGTGTGTGTATTAGCTGTGTCTTTGTTAGTGATGTTTGGTTTTGAGGCAGGGTCTTATTATATAATAGAGACCGGCTTTAAACACACGAGTGAACTTCCTCAGACTCGGAAGGGCTAGGATTATAGCCACGTACTACTGTACCTGGCTCTCCCCTGCCTTCCCCAGTGCCAGGGTTTGAGGTGAAGACCTCACTCAGGCTAGCCAAGCATTCTATCACTCAGCCACCTCTCCAACCCTACATCCTTGATACATAAGTACAGTCAGATTACAGCTTCCCAGAACATTTTTTTATTCTTTCCCAGTTATTCTAGGGAAAAGGGATGCTAACTTTTGTGATGAAAAAACTTAAAATAAAGGGCTGAGGAGAGGAGAGGGTCCACTGGTTAAGAACATTTAGTACTCTTCCAGAGGAACCGAGTTTAGCTTCCAGTGGGCACATCGGGTCATTCACAACTGCCTGTAACTCCAGTTCCAGGTAATCTGACGCCTTCTTCCTGTCCACATGCGGACAACCCACACCCAGAAATACCACATTTACACATCCTTTTTAAAAAAAAATAGTTCTAAAATTTTTTAAAAGGTTTTAAGTATAAAATGAATCCCTGCAGGCCCGTCCCCTAGTTTGAACAATTACCAACACGTGTTCAATCACGCCTGGTCTGGACCGTTCCTTGCTGTCTGCTCTGAAATACCTTGAAGTCATGGTACCCATTGTGCTTTTAGGATTTTAACATTCTAGTAACAAGAAGAGAGGGAAGAAAACAGATTTTTATTTATGTAAAGAATTTACAAGGGGGGATGGGGCAGGAGTGGTGGCACAAGTTGTTAATCCCAGCACTTAGGAAACAGACAAGTGTATCTCTGGGAGTTCAAGGCCCGTCTGATCTATCTATTGACTTCTAAGCTAGCCAGGGCTACACAGTGAGACCCTGGAGGTAGAGAGAGAGAGATAGATAGATAGATAGATAGATAGACAGACAGACAGACAGACAAGAATTGTGGTAGGGTTGGGGCTGGTAATGAGGTGATTTCTGATTCTTCCCCATTCTTTACTAAGCCTTCCTGCTTTGATGAGACTGTTTCTGACTCAGGATTTTCCTTGCCCTTAGCTCCATTACTTACCACAGCCCAGGCGAAACCAGGAGAGACCCAGGAGGAAGAGGCTAACTCAGGAGAGGTAAAAGAAGTGCCTTCTCCCCATCCTCCTCATAATACCTAAACGGGAGGCTTGATATGAAAACACCAGAATACAGACTGGATTTCTGCAGTGTTGATGCCTCCAGACTCTGGGAATTAGTAATAAAGAGTGGTTTTAAGAGATATTCTAGCCAGACACGGTGTTGCCCACCTGTAATCCTAGCCATAGGAGGCAGAGGCCCCGAAGATCACAGATTTGAGGCTAGCCTGGGCTACATGGTGTGCTCTAGACCAGCCTGAGATAAACATATGAAGAAGAAAACAAAAACAGGGCTAGGGTTGTGGTTCAGTTAGTGGAGTGTTTGCTTTTTGATCCCTAGCGTCATGTTAAACTGGGCGTGGAGGCAGGAGGATCAGAAGTTCAAGATCATCTGTACATATACAGCAGGTTTGATGTTAACCTACAATACATCAGACTCAACCTCTAAAGACAACCAGCAAACAGGAAGATACTAAGTTGAAGGCTGGGGTTGTAGCTCAGGGATAGTGCTTACCCAGCAGGTGCAAGCTCCTAGATTCAATCCCCAGCACCCCAGAAAAAGAAAGAAGAAAGTTGTTCACGGAGTCCACTGCAGATCATTGGAGGTACCAAAGTGTACCCCAAGGCACAGGATTGCTGAGTAAAGCATCAATTAGAAAGCTGGATGATAAGGCCATCAAGATGAGGCTCAGTGGGTGAGGGTGCTTGCCACACGTCCTGACCACACACCTATAAGTAGATGAATGTTTTGGAAATATGTTTAAAGATGTGATTATAGGCCAGCACAGTGGCTCATGCCTGGAATTCTAGGTACTTGGAAGGTTGAAGGCGGACAGATTGTTGTAAGTTTCTAGCCAGCCTGGGCTTAGAGTATAACAATCTGAGTTCAAACCCTGGAACCCACACAAGGGAAAGACAGTGGACTCTTACAAGTTGTCCTTTGCGCTTTGGCATGTGCATGCACCCACACATAAATAAATGACTAAGGTCAGAGATGACATGACCTATGTGTTCAGGTTACTCTGGGCATTGTTGGTTATATCTTTTATTCTCTAGAGTTACTGTCTCGCTTTATTCACAAACATCTTGTTTGGACAGTGGGTTGAATACTTAACCACAGATATGAAAGATTAGTAGTGTTAGAATGTCATTTTTAAATTCTAGTGCTGTCAGTGATGGAACGGGGGGTGCAGTTCAGAGTTAGAGCCCTTGCCTTACAAGGGCAAGGCCCTGGGTTCAGTCTCTCAGTTTGCACAGTGATGATGGTGATGATGATGGTAACAGAGATGTTTTCATTACCAAAGATAGATATTGTAACTTGTTTTTCTTTTGTGGGGAGCAGGTCATTGTTAAGTAGAAGTTACTGATATGGGAGAGGATCCCAGGGGACTCTAGTACAAAATAGAGAAGACTGGCCTCGTGCTATTCGGACAGTCTAGGGTGCAAGGCCAGACAAAACCTGCAAAGAAGCAAAAGAGGTAGGCAGCTGAAGCCAGTGATGTTACAAAATGTTGAACATAAAAGAAATATTCTAGAACTGTTGATAATAGACATGCAGTTCTAGACTGACAGGCCCACCCATTTCTTTAAAGAGCATTAAAGAAACATCCCCCCCCCAAAAAAAAAAAAAAAACGTAAGTGGTCTCTTCTGTGGTATGGCAAGTTTCACTGTGGTCTGTTCTGCCTTTTCCCTTGTCCCATGATTGATTTAGGGTGCTTGCTTCACTAACTGGTAAGTGTTGAGAAAATGCAAATTGACCCACAGATAAAGTCTGGTATCCTTAGGAAATGCTGTTCCCCATCAAAGAAAGCAATCATCAGATGGTTCTAGGGCATTGTCTGTGCTGTGAGTCCTTTCTTAGGTCATATGTACAAAGACTGTGTCTAGGTTTCCACCTTACTTTTTGAGACAGTCTCTAACTTGGACCTGACCCTGGAGCTTGCAGGTTAGGCTGGCTACTTAAGCTGGGAGGCTCATAAGGTCCTCCCAGTTCTGCCATGAAAGGTGCATGCCCTGATCACCTTTTGTTTTTTTGTTTAGTTTGTTTTTATTTTATGGAGAGTTTGTTGTTGTTTGTTTTGTTGTTGAGACAGGGCCTCTCTCTATAACCCTGGTTCTTGTGCTATGTTGACCAGACTGGTGTAAATAAAAATTTAAAAAAAAAATGGAGATCTACCTGTCTCTGCCTCCCAGAGTGCTGGGATCAAAGGCATGTCCCACCATGACCCATTTATTTGTTTGTTAAACCATGGGCATCTGAACTCGGGTCCTGTTCCTTGAATAGAAAGAATGTTATCTACTTAGCTATCTCTCAACCCAGAAAACTACCTGCTTCTTAAGTCGCTCTGGTTTATCAAGTCTTGTGGTTATCAGTCTAGGCTAAAGCCAAATTGTTCTCAGGCTTTTGGTGAAATTAGCCACTCTAAGATGCCAGAATTCTATCTAACACTCTCTTCTTTCTTTCTCAGGAGCCATTTATTGAAACTCGCCAGGATGGTGTCTCTCGAAGATTCATCCCCCCAGCCAGGTGCTTACTATTCCTCAGTCCCCTGTTTCTTGCCAAAGGAATTTTAATTAAACCTAGGAAATAGGACATGGGACCAGGTGATGAATTATCATCTAGCCTTTTGGCTCTTTTTAGAAAAGCCGCGTTCCCTTATACCTGACCCTTCACCTTTCAGCATTCATTTTTTTCTCTGTAGGCCTTTACATAGTGAGAAGGGTTAGTAATGCTGAAGAAGTGAGGACTGCTGAGGGAGTGACTGAGATGATTCTTGAGATGTTTTTTCAGTAGCACTTGTTAGATGGTTAGGTTCTTACTTCTCATTGATGTAGCAGGTAAAAGGTGCTGTCAAGGAGTATAATATTAGAAAATGGTCTTTCTTGATTGTCCTTCCTTTTTGCTGAAACATACATATCCATTTTTGATGCCCCCTCTCCCTCCTTAGTTCATCCGGGCTAACCTGGTGCTGAGACGTACCTCTGTGAAGACGAGCATGGTCTTCCTTTGGGAGAGAGGGACCCCTGGGAGGTCCACTTGGGCTAGGAGTGGGTATGCACCTTGACGCCCCTCAGCTGGTGCTTGAGAGTCTCTGCCACTGGTAGCACAGTAGGTGGAGGAGGCCTCTCTGCTCCCTCATGTGGCCCATGGGCGGGGGGCTGTCTGCAGGATGATGTCTACAGAAAGTGCTAATAGCTTCACTCTGATCGGGGAGGCATCTGATGGTGGCACCATGGAGAACCTCAGCCGAAGACTTAAGGCAAGTTGGTCTTATTTCACTCTCAAGAATTGTGTGTAGTTACAGGGGTGGCTCGGCAGGTAGCCCAGGAGAGGCCCCATCCTGACTGGCCCATGCTTCCAGGTCACTGGAGACCTTTTTGACATCATGTCGGGCCAGACAGATGTGGATCACCCACTGTGTGAGGAATGCACAGATACTCTCTTAGACCAGCTGGACACTCAGCTCAATGTCACTGAAAATGAATGTCAGAACTACAAGTGAGTACCTCCAGGGACTGGGCCTGGAGACTGTTTGGCCCTTAGGACTTATGAGCTCTGCCTCCCCTCAGGCATGTGGAACAACGGGTGTCCTCTAGTCAGTAGTGTGTCTGTGCCCTTGGCAGACGCTGTTTGGAGATCCTGGAGCAGATGAATGAGGGTGACAGTGAGCAGCTCCAAAGGGAGCTGAAGGAGCTGGCCTTAGAAGAGGAGAGGCTGATTCAGGAGCTGGAAGATGTGGAAAAAAACCGCAAGGTGGTGGCAGAAAACCTGGAGAAGGTCCAGGCTGAGGCAGAGAGACTGGACCAGGAGGAAGCTCAGTGAGTACTTTCCCTGCTCTTCTGCCTTTAGCATGGGGAGAGGGAGTGGGTTCCAGCTGAATGTGTCTGATTAGGTGGGCTGTCGGTCAGTACAATGTCTGCTCCAAATGTGGCTGGTTGTTTGTGGGTCTGTTTCTGGAAGCGTGATGGGAGGGCTATGGAGGAAGGCTTGCCATGAGAAGTGTAGCAAGGATATTAGTTGGGTGGAGTGATGACACCAGGGCTCTGAAAACACGCTTGCAGAAATTTTTTTTGTCATAGTTCACAAGAGTCCTTTCTTCTATATTTTAAAATTTGAGCATCTGGAATTTGAGACATTTTTATACTTTGTACTCAAAACATTCCTCTGAGAGAAATCCGTGCCACATGTAGAGAGGTGTGTAATTAGATGTCACTATGTCACTAAAGAAAATCCTTCCGGCCGGGCGGTGGGGGCAATGCATGCCTGTAATCCCAGCACTTGGGAGGCAGAGGCAGGCAGATTTCTGAATTCAAGGCCAGCCTGGTCTACAGAGTGAGTTCCAGGACAGCCAGGGCTATACAGAGAAACCCTGTCTCGAAAAAACAAAACAAAAAAACCAAAAACAACAACAAAAAAAAATCCTTCCGAAGATGAGGAGAGAGGAGCTGTGGCCTGCACGGTCAGCCTTTTCTGGTCCCCTTGACTGCCCACAGGTACCAGCGGGAATACAGTGAGTTTAAAAGGCAGCAGCTGGAGCTGGACGACGAGCTCAAAAGTGTGGAGAACCAGATGCGCTATGCCCAGGTGCAGCTGGACAAGCTCAAGAAAACCAATGTCTTCAATGCGACCTTCCATATCTGGTAATGAGGGCAGGGATATGTAGTGTGGGGGCACATCTGCCAAGCACTTCATATCTGGACCTGAGCTGTTAGCAACACCCCAGGGTGGCCACCTCCACATAGAAGAGGCACTGTAGGTCCCCTTCACCTATGCCAGGTTTACGACAGGTTCCTGCCATTCTTCTTAATAGGATAGGTGTAATGTGGGCTGTGTGTGTGCATGTGTGCATGAGCGTGTGCATGCACACACAAGTAGGATTCTAGAGTTTAGTGTTTGTATCTTCCCACCAAATCCTGGTGCCTGAGGCTGCGGTTAAATTATTTTATTAGCCAGGCCAAATTGTCCTGAATCCCTCTCCTTTTCTTCCAGTCCATATACCTAAGCTCCCCTTGGCATTTGGAACGAATGCCCCAAACCTCCCAAGGCATCCATCATCTTTGCCACCTGCTTCAGTGCCAAAGTGGAAGTCACTGAGTTCTCTCCTGCTCCTCCCCTGACAAACATACAAACAAACAAACATCAAAGTCCCCAAGCCCCACTGAGTCTGCCTCCCGCTCCTCTTTTAGACTCATGTGCGTGAGTGTTTGCCTTCATGTATGAATGTGCACCAACACATAACTACTGGATCTCCTAGAACTGTGGTTATGGATGGTTGTGAGCAACCATGTGCTAAAAAATTGAACAAATCCTTTGCAAGAACAACAAGCACTCTTAATCACGGCTGAGCCATCTCTAGCACCTTTCTACTTGTCTTAAATCTGTCTACTTCTGCCAGGCAAGTGCTGTATGCCTTTAATCCCAGCACCTGGGAGGCAGATCTGAGTTTCAGGCCAGCCTGGTCTGCACAGTGAGTTCCAGATCACCCAAAGCTGTTATACTTCTTAGGAATCCTGTTTCAAAAAGAAACCCACAAAAAAACAACAACAAAACAAAACTCCATCTGCTTCCCCGATCTCCAGAGTGCTATTCTTTTTCAGTTTAGATTCCCAGCAGCACACCTCACAAATGCAAGTGAACTCATGTCACCTCCCTGTGTGAAATGCTTCAATCATTCCCTCTGCCTGGGATCAACCCCAAATGCCTTAAGAATGGTAACTCTCCAGTTTCATATCCGGCCACTTGCCCCTTACACTCCATTTCCGTCACAATAAGGTCCTTTCAGTTCTTCCATCCACCACTCCCTTGCTCCTGTTTCTGTGCACACGATGTTCTCTGCCAGGAACAACTCCTCCTCTGTGGACATCTGCTTCACCTCTCAGACACATCAGACTTCTGGGGAGAATTTTCCATGCATCTCCCCAAACTGGGAAAGAACTCTCCCCTGTTCTCACCCTGGACCTCTCATTATCATACTGTAACACACCTGCCTGTTATGTATGCATCCCTTCTAGATCATAAATAACTGGCAGACAGACTCTGGACTGTTTTCTTGACCCTGTTTCTGGTGGTTAGCACAGTGCCTTCCACACAACAACACTCAATAGTTACTAATTCAATAATAAATACACCAATGAGCCTGGGGTCAATAGCTCAGCACCAGGCTGGAGAGATGGCTCAGCTTTTAGATCACCAGCTTCTCTTCCAGAGGACCCAAAGTTGATTCCCAAACCCACACTGCAGCTCACACCTTTTTTTCTTTTCTTTCCTTTTCTTTTTTTTTTTTTAGATTTATTTTTTATTTATATGAGTACACTGCAGCTGTCTTCGGACACACATTAGAAGAGGGCATCAGATCCTATTACAGATGGTTGTGAGCCACCATGTGATTGCTGGGAATTGAACTCAGGACCTCTGGCAGAGCAGTCAGTGCTCTTTACTGCTGAGCTATCTCACCAGCCCCTAGCTCACAACTTTCTGTTACTGCAATCTCAAGGGGTCTGACTCCATCTGGCCTCTGGGCACGAGGCATGCATGTAGTGTACATGCATGAGGGCAAACACTCACGCACATGAGTCTGAAAGAGAGGAGCGGGAGGCAGACTCAGTGGGGCTTGGGGACTTTGATGTTTGTTTGTTTGTCAGGGGAGGAGCAGGAGAGAACTCAGTGACTCTCAGGCTTCCACTTTGGCACTGAAGCAGGTGGCAAAGATGATGCCTTGGGAGGTTTGGGGCATTCGTTCCAAATGCCAAGGGGAGCTTAGGTATATGGACTAGAAGAAAAGGAGAGGGATTCAGGGTAGGCATGGGTGAAAGTGGGAAATCTCAAGTTTTATGTTTTTCTCCTCTGACCTTTTCTGCCTTTTTCTCCGTAGGCACAGTGGACAATTTGGCACAATCAATAATTTCAGACTGGGTCGCCTGCCCAGTGTTCCTGTGGAATGGAATGAGATCAATGCTGCCTGGGGCCAAACAGTGTTGCTGCTCCATGCTTTGGCTAATAAGATGGGTCTGAAATTTCAGAGGTGAGCAAGTGCAGCTCTTCCATAGCACCCTGAGTGAGCTATGTCTGACTTAATCCGTCTATACAGCTGGGGCTGCTCTACTGTGGCCTTGCTGCCAGTAGACAGACTTTCCTGTGGGTGAAGGGCCTCTGGTTTCCCTTCATCACAGGCCTCTTGCATGTGAAACCGTGCAGCAGTCATCAACTGTATGACTAGCAGTGGTCTCCAACAGTCTCTAGAACCTAATTTTTCCCTAAAAAAGTTTCAGGTTTTGTTCTTAAAACTCTACTCTCCAACTTTTTGATATTGTGGTCTATGAATGTGTTGAGCCTCATTCAAAGCTATCCTGGGACAAAGGCGCATCCTACAGGCCAAAAGTTATATTCACCTTCTAAACCAAAAATACCAGGCATGGTGTCAAATAACTGTAATCCTAGTGTTGGAGAAGCTAAGGCAGGAGGATCAAAAGTTCAACGTCAGCTGGCCTACATAGGGAGACTGTCATTTGAAAAATAAAGCAAAAGTAAGCTACAACATACATTAATTGATGAACCCCCACCCCCTGCTGTTGGATAATAGATGGAATCATTTAAGACCTTGAACACGGACTCTATAGGAGTTGGGAGCAAATAGTAAAAGTCTTTGGGTAAGATGTATATGTAGACTGAAAATTACCAGGTAGTAGCCGAGCGGTGGTTGCTCACATCTTTATACCAACACTTGGGAGGCAGAGGCAGGTGGATCTCTGAGTTCAAGGCCAGCCTGGTCTACAGGACAAGTTCCAGGACAGCCAGGGCTACACAGAGAAACCTTGTCTTAAAAAAGAAAAGTTACTGGGTTGCAACTTTGCAATGATAGCTGTAAGAAGAATCTTGTATCCATCTCTGCATCCCCACTTTAGGTACCGACTTGTTCCCTACGGAAATCATTCGTATCTGGAATCTCTGACAGACAAATCTAAGGTATCCTGGGAGGTCTTAATTGCGGTGGCTTAGAGAGTTCATGCTTATCCTAACAAAATGGGTTCACTGGTGCCTAGGGATGAGGCTTAGCGATAGAGTACTTGCCTAAAGTACAAAGGGCCCTGTGTCTTTAAAAAGGCATAATTTTTATATCATCTGACATTTTTCATTGTCTTTCTCAGACTATCACATAAGGAGCCAACATCTTGTTCAGACTTAGCTCTTTGGGGGTTACAGAGAAAAATTCGTCTTTTATACCCTGTTGAAAGAGAGTCTTGTCAGATCAGAGGAAATCGGGAACTCGAGGGTGGGGAATATACAGAAGTTCAGTACATTTCCATTGATCCAGAAACTGCCAAGAGCTGGTGTTTGCCTGTTGCTTTTGGAGTTGTTGAGGGCTATCGAAGTCATTGGTCAGCTGTAATACATGTTCTGGTGGGTACAGACAAAGCTTGGGTGCTTGGAGGCCAGGGGACGACTGGGGACATGCCCACAGCCAGTTCTTTCTTCTTGGGCAGGAATTGCCGTTATACTGTTCTGGAGGTTTGCGGTTTTTCTGGGACAACAAGTTTGACCATGCAATGGTAGCTTTTCTGGACTGTGTGCAGCAGTTCAAAGAAGAGGTGGAAAAAGGAGAGACTCGATTTTGTCTTCCATACAGGTAAGTGTTCGCCCTGTATCCCCTGAGGGCTCAGTAAACTTGTAGCAGGGACTAGTTGAATTAAAGGGCCAGTGAATGAAAACAGACAGTAAAAATGGCAAAAAAGAAGAGTTGGCAATTACATGACATTGATGGGCAGGGACTGAGGTGGTATTGCAAGCAGGACAGTGTGACCCCTGGTCCCAAGTTTTAAGTGCTGATGGGGATTTCCTTGGCTTGAGTTTACAGTCTCATTTCAGAAAGGCTTTCCTGCAGCCTTTGGAAATAGACAAGAATGCTTCTCTCAGACAGTGTAGCGACCCAGCATAGAGACTAACTAGTTCAGGAGCCTAAGTTCAGAAGCCAAGTGAAATGCGGCACACCTATAACCCCAGCACTCTGGGCTGAGGCAGAGAAATTGTGGGACTTTAAATAGCATCTGTTTTATAGTGAGGAAAGAGGGGAAGGAAAGTTGAATTTTCTCACACACAAATACAGATTTTCTTCTGTCTCACTCTCTGCTCCTTGAGTTTGGGGATGCCTAGGCAGATAGTGAAGAGTACTGTAACCTTCACTCCCTCCTGTGTGGGTGTGTCCTCTCCTGTCCTGTACTCTGCCATGACAATGAGGCTCTTGTGTCAGCTTTTGATTTTAGGCTTTCAAGCAAATCCAAAATACACTAGTGGTAATGCTTTGCCCGGCGTTATTTATTAGATAAATGACGTGAATGGTCTCATGATAAAGTCCTTGCCCATTTGCCTGAACTGACTTAGGTTGGCTCTGTTACTAATGAGCTCTGCTGTGTCCACCTGCAGGATGGACGTGGAGAAAGGCAAGATTGAAGACACTGGAGGCAGTGGTGGCTCCTATTCCATCAAAACCCAGTTCAACTCCGAGGAGCAGTGGACAAAAGCCCTCAAGTTCATGCTCACCAATCTCAAGTGGGGTCTCGCTTGGGTGTCCTCACAGTTTTATAACAAGTGACTTGTTCCTTATGGGATACCCTTGCCTTTAAGGTTTTACACTTTGTTTGGTTTGGAAAGATGCTTTAAATTAAATTTGGGTAATATTAAACCACATGTTTACAATACCAAAATCCACAAAAGCTACTTTATTTTCGAATATGACAGAGAGTTTCCAGAGTACAACACACCATGTATAGCAAAGAACCCTGCCAGAGTTTTGACTCAACCCCATGCCGTCCTTTCCCTCTTTCCTGAAACAACTAATTTAAATTTGCTTTGTTTTCTTTTTTAAGTTGAATTGACATTAATGTGTTTTCACTGGATTTTATCTCTCTCAGCTTCCTGCACTTACAATATGAAACAGAAGTTTTGAGATGAGATGCTTGTGGCAGGCACAGTTGGGTAATGTGGGGAAAGGACACCAGGTCAGAAGTTACCAGTTTAACTCTGTCCTCGATTCTAGTACTAGATGCCTACTGTGCTATCTAGTGGGATTACAGAATGCTGTTTGATACTGTTTGAGACGTGGAGAGATTTAATTATTTGTAATAAAGGATTTGCTATGGTCTGTTAATTACCAAGTGGTGTGCCAGTATGTTTTTTCTTAAAATCGAGTATTTTGTGTTCTGGAAGAACTGAGTTTCAGTCAGTTCGGTAGAAATTCTGTTAAAACATGTCTTAGTTTAATTAAAAAGAAAAACAAAACCAGGATGATGATGGCATTTAGACCCAGCACTCAGGAGGCAGAGGCAAGTGAACCTCTGAATTCCAGCCCAGTCTGGTGTGTATAGTGAGTTGTAAGACAGCTAGGGCTGAATAGTGAGACCCTGTCTCAAGAAACAGAACAAAACAAAACAAACAACCAGTTGTAGCAGGAGCAAGGGAAGAAAGGCTACTTCAGAGAGACTCAGTTAAGGTCATCGAAAAGTGTTTTAAAGTCCTCTATCTCTATCTGATATTACCTCTTAGATTAAATTAGGAAAAATTGAAAGTCTTCTCAAACAAAAATGAACCAATTTCACAATCTAACTCCGTCCAATTCTTTGATGTTTTTTAGCCTGCCATGACACAACAGATATGTTTGTCTCCCATCACTATCTCTGATGTGGAAAAAAATAACATGCTTGAAATTGGAATATAAAACACTGTTCAAAGGAAACTTGGAATTTTTGTACCCTGAGTTTGAAAGTAAACAAGGAAAGGGGGTCCAGTGACAGAAGGCGGTGTAGGTCAGCCAGCCTCACGTGTTAGAGGAAGCAGCAGGCCTCAGCGCCCTGCCTGCCTTGTGGGGAACAGGCTGCTGTTGCCCAGGAGTGTTTGCTCCCACGCTGTGAGTCAGGATTGCATAAGAGAACTCAGCAATGCTTTCCGAGGCAATGCCAGTGATACTCTGCAGATGCCCTATAACCTTCAGAAAGACACGTCTTCTTACTAAATACTCCCAACCTATTGTAGTGCACAAACACTATCGTGCACACACACTTACACACACAAACATAAATACTTGCTTGGGATGTTCTCTCAAGCCTCACAAGCTTTTCATTTTTCTGAATGCAGAGGGAAAATTCAATCCAGATTCCTATGTTGACTGCCAAGTGTTATTTCCCTGATAGCGTTACCAGGTACTCTTTCTGCTAGTTACTTGTTTCCCCCATAAAGGACAGAACAGTGGGTCATAACTATAAATGGAAATGGAACATGGGCCTCTATTTCCAGATTTCATAAAACGGAAACATTTGCATCCTACTCTGGTTTTCCAACCCTCCCCCCTTGATTGGTCATCCAGTCCCTGGGTCCTGGCACCTCTCTAACGCACACTGTCTCCGTGTTCCTTTAACTGATGGGAGAATGCTTTCTATTAAATTCTGAGCGTGCTGATCCTGCTCAGTGGTGCATACCTGGCTCCAGCATTCATGGTTTTGGATGAAGGCACTCGCTGCAATGATTCCAACTGCCAACAGCATAAAGTCTTCCTTCACAGAGATAAACTTTTCCCTGAATAATTAAAACCATATTAATTTTGGAACAAGTATGAAATGTGGTCCTTAATTCTAGGTTCGTAGAACTTCAACTATGAATTGTTCATGTTAATCATGTACTTTTTAAACACAGGAGAAAAAAAGGGTCGGGTAATAGCTGATCTGCTCTCCAATGTCCCCCCAGCTTAGCTGGGATTAAACATGGACCTTGTGTCTTGAGTGGCTGATAGGCCTTTTGTTGTTCCATCTGTCTTCCTAACAAATGTAACTGTGAGGCTTTGGCCAGTCTGACTTTACAGTAATCAAATACTTTTGACCAACTTGCAGCCATGTGACAGGCTTTTCCCCCACTCAGGTGACTATAAAAGCAAGGTAGCACTCTCAATTTGTAAGTAGTTACAAAAGAATTAGAAAAGAATGTTAAATATTTGAAGCAATTTACATTTAGTAGTAAAAACCTTTAGAGTTTCCTGGGCTAACTCATCTGCATCTGGACCACAAAATGGAAGTTAATAAAAACCAATTAACCTGTGTGGGTTTTCAGTGCTGGGTGCTGGACTTACTAGACAAGTATTCTACCACTGAGCTCCAAACCCAAATTCCTATTCATGTGATCAGTTCCCTACTGTGCATCCCCAGAAGAAGCCTACCCAAGAACAGTTTCTTACCCCTGCAGCTGACTGGGTGTAGAATTCTCAATTGACGCTCTCAATAGGCTCTCATAGATGGGTTCATGCAGAAGATAGACCAGGTCAAGGAGGGTCAGACAAGTTGCATGTAGTTGTGTGGCAGGGACCAAACAGCCATTGTACCCTACATAGAGTATGTACATGGAAAGGAACAGAGTCTTGTTCTCTGATCATAATCTTAGGACATAAAGCTGTTTAGTTGCTAATGTTCTTCCTGATTGTTATGCTCGACAATGAAAAATCGGTTAGCAGAAGGTCAGGGCTTTTTTTGTTTTTGTTTTGTTGTTGTTGAGGCAGGATCTTACCTTGTAGCCCTTGCTGACCTGGAACTTTGTGTAGACCAGGCTAGCCTCAAACTTAGAGATCCACATGCCTCTGCCTCCCAACTGTTGGGATTAAAGGCATGTGTCTGGCCAGAAGGTTAATTTTAAAGGATAGATCTCCATCTGAAATACATACATACAATTACAGTACCATTGCTTTGTCTTTTGCTTCTCCATAAACCCTTGGATCCTGCAATAAGAAAATGCCTAATGGCCGGGCGGTGGTGGCGCACGCCTTTAATCCCAGCACTTGGGAGGCAGAGGCAGGCGGATTTCTGAGTTTGAGAGTTCGAGGCTAGCCTGGTCTACAGAGTGAGTTCCAGGACAGCCAGGGCTACTCGGAGAAACCCTGTCTCGAAAAACCAAAAAAAAAAAAAAAAAAAAAGAAAAGAAAATGCCTAATGATTGGCATTAGCACACCTTTAATCCCAGCACTTGGGAGGCCAGCCTGGTCTACAACTTGAGTTCCAAAATAGCCAGGGCTGTTACACAGAAGAAAAAAGAGTGCCTAATGAATCCAAATAGAAAGCAGGTGCTAGACCTCTGAGCTACCTCCCCTGACTAGTGCTGGAGGGACATTGTCAGTCATCCAGAAACACAGGCTTCCTTCCTGCTGCTCCTCATTGGTAGGTTGTATCTCCTGTTCCCAAATCCCTGGGCACATTTGGTTTTTTGACTGCTTTGGAAGTCTCCAACCCACATCTGACACGTTTAATAAAGTACCTAGAACTTCAAGGAGCATCTCCACATATGCCAGCGGAGTGGGCAGATTTATTTGGAAGTTCAGGGACTTCAAAATATCAAGTTCTGATTCCAGCAGTTCTTCTTTGGTGTATACATAACCAAGAGCCTGGAGGAAATTCAGGACTGTAATGTTGCTGACAATCTGAGCAAGAAGAAAGCAAAGGCAGAGGAGAGCCGTCAGGATGCAGGTCACATGCCCTTGCAGTGAAGCCCTGCAAGCCCACTACGTTTTGCAAGCAGGCTTACTTGCAGGTAAGCCCAAATTCTCCCTTCAAGTCATAGCACACACTGGATTCCCTTCCCTTCTGTCTGGTCATTCTTCCCTGCCCTCCGTAATTTTGTTCTGATTTTCTTTGTAGCCACCAGATACCACCTACCAGTTCCAGTAATTCATTTTCTTTAAATAAACTTCCTTGACTTAGCAAGGCTGATGAGATCCACTCTTAGCCCTCGATTTACACTATTTTTTATTTTAATGACTGTCCAGCCTGTCTACACCTATGCCTTTTCCCACTTGTAAGAGGTCCCTGGAGAGTAGAGACAATGTTTCTTACTGTGGTGGCCACGCCATGGTATCTACTGAAACTCTGGGCCATAGAAGAGACTCAATAACTATTTGCTGAATGAATGATTTTACTGTACTGGACAGTGATGTGGAAACATTTTATCCTTTCTCGGTGTAACCACGGGCCTTTAATGCTGATAGGCATGTTGGTAGTTCAGGTACCTTATGTAAACTGTCCTTAAGTCCAAGGGGAGGAAAGGTGACCTGCATGAATGATGGCACCCGTCCAGCAATTATACTTTGGGAACAGAACTTCGGGCTATTTAATAACTGCCTCTGTGTGAGTGTGTGTGTATTCAGAAGGCACGCTTAGGAAGCATAATTACACTCTGGAATTTCCACATGAGTAGTGTTGCCTAGCTTAGCAGTGGGTTTCTCACAGGCACCTTCAATGAGCTGTGCTCTCGCTGACACTCGGGTCCCCACGAGAAACCCCGCTCCTTACTTTGTAGTGGAAAGACAGTTTGCTGGCCAGCTGAACACACGACACCAAACGGAGGATGAACTTGTCGCAAAGCTGCTCTTTCAGAGCCCTCCAGTTTTGCAACCCAGTCTCATTACTTCTCAGCTGGAGTGTGGCTTGCCAACAGATGTTCTCTGCCTGCTTCACCATGAACCTGTAAGGGGGAAATAAAAAAAAGAGAGTAACTCACAGTGACACCGACTACAGGGACTTTGTGTGGTAGACATGCTATATCTTATCCTGCTGGGTATCAAATACTGGCGAGGAGAACTACATTTGCAAGTAAAAAGGAGGGTGCAAGCCCAGCTAGCCTCTACATAAAGGGGTGAGCAGTGCTGGGTGATGATCTCGGGATGCCAGCCATTCTGAGGGGCACCAGCACAAAGGCCTCATGCAAGAGCTTTACCTTTCTAGGATTTCTACAGCCTGGTAGCTCACCGATTTCTCCAGACACCATTGTTCAGACAGGAGAAAAACAAACTCTGCCAAGACAGGAAAGAAGAGCTTAATTCACAAGATGCAACTCAAGCCACTCTGTGAACTCTTGGCATGGTGTAAAAGCCATGATGGAGCTGAGAGCGGAGGGTCAAGAAGTGAGAAAGATGAGCCTGGGACAAGCAGACCCGAGCTGAGTTGCCTTTGCTGCCAATAGGCAGATCAGAGGCATGGAAAGAAGGCTGCCTCTGTGCCAAAGCAGGATCACCAAGCCCCTCAGTGACCCTTGAGCCTTCCTTTGAGTGGCGGCTGACAAAAGGTTTGGTCAGTTACACACAAACATATACCAGCTGGCCTAGTTGGTCTCTACCTCCCCCTGGGAACCCCTAGCTCCATGAGGATTCTTGGATGGATAAAAACCCTAATCCCTATATTCTGTTTTCAGTGGAATGTTGGCAGGAACAGAAAGGTCCCTCCGGGCGTCCATAGTCTTTATGACACTGTTTGTTTAGTAACCTCCCTCTGCAGAACTCCCATTGCTTTACAAACAATTCACCTTGCAGCTGGTCACCAGCTCTCCACCACCAGTCTGTTGGGTAAATCTCTAGTGTTACTGTGGACTGACTTGTTTTGAAGAAACACCCCCTAACTCAAAGAACACAGCCCAGTTTAGAGGGAAGGAATCCTTAGGAGGTGGGGAGTGTAAGATACCTTGGCAAGAGTTTATCCCACTTCTGTTTCCTTTTGAAAGAATAGCCCTAGATAACATTTTATTTAGCTTGCAGTATCATTAGAGGGTGGAGACGACGGTAAATGTCAGCTCTCAGTAAAAAAATCTGAAGACCTAAGAACCTTTATCACTGATCAGCAAAGAATTACAGAGTGAGGATCCTTTACCCCAGCCTGTGTGCACATAATCAAATTGTCATATGTCTTCTGAGAAAAAAAATTGGACTTTCTTAGAAGAGAAACAAATTATTGGACATGCCTATAATTGACAATGCCTATGATTTCAGCAGGTGGAGAGGCAGGAGGGTCAGGAGTTCAAGGACATCTTCACATGGAAACTGAAGGTCAGCTTGAGCTACAGGAGACCCAGTCTAAAAAAAAAAAAAAAGTCTACAAAAAAACTAAAATCAAGCTACACAAGACAGTTTAGCAATACACTTAACACAAATTACAAATAGCTTTATACACAAAGCCTTCTTACAAAGACCACAGCCTTATGCCGGGCGGTGGTGGCGCACGCCTTTAGTCCCAGCACTTGGGAGGCAGAGGCAGGTGGATTTCTGAGTTGGAGGCCAGCCTGGTCTACAGAGTGAGTTCCAGGATAGCCAGGGCTACACAGAGAAACCCTGTCTCTAAAAACAAACAAAAAAAAACCCAAAACAAACAAACAAAAAAACAAAAAAGAAACTCCTGACCAAGGTCTCTTCAAAACTCTCTTGCTGCCTTCAAAAATGTCTCCCCAACTACTGTTTGTTGGTGGGGTTTTGTTGGCAATGAGGTTTTGTTTATTATTTTACATTTTAAAAATTGTGTATGTGTGTGTTTGAGTGCAGCGCTTTTGTTGGAGCCCCTGAAGCTGGAGTTAAGAGGCAGTTGTGAGCTGCCTCCTGTCGGCGCTGGGAACTGAATTTGGGTCCCCTGGGAGAACAGCACAAACCCTCAACTACTGAGCCTTCTCTCCAGGCTGTGTGTTCGTGTGTGTGTGTGTGTGTGTGTGTGTGTGAGAGAGAGAGAGAGAGAGAGAGAG